AAGTTTACTGGCCAGTGCTTACTAGTGGGCCTGGTGCATCCTGGATACTCAATATATCTCTGTTGGGTGAGTGGGTGGGTCCCTGAGTGCTGACCCTGCGAGGCTACTCAGCAGTTAATGACCAAATCACAGCCTGTTGGGACCAGAAAATGCCTTAAAACTAATCCAGTGCAGCAACTGTATTTTATACCTGAGGAATCAGAGACATAGCTGGGGAGTGACTTGCCTGGTGTCACACAGAAATATGGCAAAGTTACTTCCTAGATATTTGTCAGACTGAAGGTATCCTGGAAATGACTGTGCTCCTCTGGGACTGCTTTTTTTTTTAAGATTTTAAAAGTGATTTTTAGGGAGAGTGACCAGGAATCGAACCAGCAATCTTTCAGTGCACAGGACAAATTCCAACCAACTAAGCCACACTGGTCAAGGCCCTCTGAGACTGTTAACTCCCTATTTTGGCATCTGTACTTTCATCACCAGGGCTCCATTTTGTAAGTAAGCTTTTTGGTGAAACACTGTCCCGGCGCTACACCAGCAGAGCAACAAGCTCCCATATCCAAGGTCAAGTGTTTGTGGACTATGCCAGGAGGAATCATGCTTGACAACCTCCTATGATGCCTTGAGGACTAGAAGTATAAAGGCCAAGGCATTCAGAATTTGCCCAGTTTTGATAAAACAAGTACACCTGCTCTCGTAGGGCAAACCCAGGTGTTCCTCACCACACTAGAACCCTAGCAGAGATGGCAACCAAACCTGCGGTCTCTGTCCAGAGGCCGAGTTATGTAAGGTTATATACAATTACACGTGAGCCCATGGAGTACAACTTCCCTGGTTATTATGTATATATTCCAATCTCTACAATTCAGTGTAAGCCATAAAAAATAAACAACCCAGTTGAGGCAAGGGACTCAGCCTTCTGACTCTAAGATATTTCACTTCTTGAGTCAATGAAGAGTGAAATCCAATAAAAGTATCTTGATGGGATTGCTATTCCCAATGTCACAGACATTCATCAGTGGGGGTGACACAAACAATTTGGTCTGGGAGGAAGGTTCCGCCATCCTTTCCATCGGTCATGGAGCCCTAACTCCACCCCAGCCTGGCTGGTGCTGGGAGGAGCCACACCTCCCACCTGCTGACAGCACCACACAGGAAATCACAACCTACAAGCTCCTCAAGATGGAAAGAAGACAATCAGCGATCACCGGCATTTCTTATTCTCTTTGGCTCAGCTGCTTATTCTCAATCTTTCTTTTTTAAGTCTACCCAAATAACCAGCATTTATGATTTTGAAGCAGAGTGATGATTTTGAAATACAAATCTGCTAATGTGACTCCCACGCTCAAAACCTCCATCTTCTCCCCAGCTCCTTGGTCATAGGCTAAGCTCCTAATTTTGGTGTTAAACTGACTAATTCCACTTTCATAGGGTCATTGAATGCTCTGCCTTGTTCTCCAACACACACACACAGACACACATACACACACACACACACACATGTACACTTGAGTCAATGAAGAGTGAAATATCAACCACTTATATGTCTCTTACATGTGCCATGCAAATTCAAGTCTATATAACTTGGCAAATGCTCTCTATCTGCACAGCAAAGCCTGTCCCTTGTTCTAGTTTCAAATTGACTGTCTTCCAATGCAATCTCTCCTGATCCTGTGAGCCCTCTCCCAAGTAGAATTAACCATGACATTATTTGTGCAACAGTGTACCACGTTCAGACCCAACTGTGACATTCACTACAGCACAAAGCA